TTTCCTTTAGGAAATTATTTCAATTACTCTATTTCTCTATATAAAACTTCTTCAAATATATCAGAAATATTTCAAAATCAGTCTGTCCTTAAATCAATTTTTTAATATTCATAAAATACAATATCAAACAATGCATTCTCAAGTTACATGAAGATTCTACTAAGACTTTAAACAAAATTAAAAAAACAAAACATTAAACCCATAAGAACATACACATTTTAAATAACTTGCCATTAAACTGACCATTAAGACATATGATCTTTTCCATCCAGAAATGCAAATGAGCATAAGAAACAAAGGCCAAATACCTCTCAATCTTACTCATATACATACATGTATACAATTATAACCCAGCAATATCATGTAATAAATGAATACACACCTTACTTTAGTATATGCCAGGGTAGACACACAAAAACAAGAAAAAAATTTTGAAATCAGAGTATAAAGGGACTCTGCTTTTTCAAACAATGCAGCACTGAAAGCCAGGTCAGCATCCTTGGGCATTACTAGGAAACTTTAGCACATCTGATATTTCCATCATCTTCGATTCCTCTGAATAATCAGAAAATTTCCCAGTCTCCCCCTACCTCACCTGTCCACAGACCCCTTTGGCTTTCTTCCCTCTACTGTGTAATAATGCTATTGTGGTTATTTAAGCTTTAAATGTCCAGAGATACAACCCCCAAATATTAATTCAGTTCGTTTTCTCACAGACACTGACTCAGCCGTGGGTTGTGCAGCACTGACGTTTCTAGCCAAACAGCATCCTGTGAGCTGTGATCATCCCATTTCCCCATCTCTGTGCAGTGATTGGTTATTGTAACTGATAGACAGGCTAAAGAAAACTCAGGAGATGAGAGCTTAGTGATATGTAGATGTGTTGCCAAATGCCATCTGTAAAGCTAATTCTAGCTCTGCGAGCTTGCCAGGTTTTAGAAAATTAGGATGCAGCTTTCTTTTTTCCTTTCAATATTTTATTGTGTACCCACTCTGGGCAGTAAAACTTATCTTTAAAACCAAAGAGAATATATAATTTGTACTTTAAGAATTCACTCAAGAACTCCTCTAAAACAATGAAACTTTTCCATTTCTAAACTGCTGTTGGTACTACGGAGTGACTAAAAAGGAAACTGGAAAGCCCAATCTTCATGCAGTCTCAGAAAAAGCGAGCATGCGTATTTCTATGTGGAAATGAAACCTTGCGGCAAAGTCTAATATTGAATGTATCATGCATTTATCTTTAGTAACCTGAGGAGACTGCAGATCTGAGTTTTAAATAGTCAGATTCGACCCAATTCATATATTCAAGAGCTTTTAGCATATTGTTAATCTAGGCATTTTAATGTTAATTATACAGAAAGGGTGTTCTTTCTTTTTCCTTTTTAAGTAGCAAAAATGTCTCTATAATTTTTTAAAAGTTGTGGTAATTCAGGCCAAATATACTTTAACTGAAATGATCTTTAACCTCTCAGCAAACTACCAAAGTTAATACAGGTATTAACTATAAAACTACTCAGAAGCAAACAAAGTTCAGTAACTTTTTAAATTATGTAATTCATTTGTATGCACTTGCAGAGGGATCATAGGCACCCTGAAATCCATCCAGATTAGCTTCCAGTCTTGTCTTGCCTTTGATATCAGTGTTATACATATCAAATCTACATTCAAAATAAAGTTCAGAAAAGAAAGTACATTAAAGTCTTATTTGATGAAAGAGAAACCATAAGGCAATGCCCACCAAACTCTCAAACCTAAATGACAGGCGCACATAAAATAGTAAGTATAACTGTTACTTTCATAATTCAATAAATTTATTTTTATCCTTGTCAGTAGGAAAGGTGGGAGGGGGAAAATAAAAGGAAAAAGATGGGAAAAAAGAGGCTATTCTAAATTGTGAACAGAACAAATAAAAAACAAATGTAAACAAGGCAATCTTTTAGATCAACTACAAAAATTGAATCAATAAAGTATTCTTATTTCTTTACTGCTAAAGATAATATTTGTCTCTCCCAAATATTCATATGTTGAAATGTATTCCCCCAATGTGATGGCTTTTGGAGATGAAGTGATTAGGTCATGAGGGCAGAGCTCTTCTGAATGGGATTAATGCCTTTATAAAAGAGACCCGAGAGATCTCTAGCCCCTTCCTCCACGTGAGGGCACAGCAAAATGAGGGCCATCTGAACCAGGAAGCAAGCCCTACCAGATATTGAATATGCCAGCACCTTGATCTTTGACTTCCCAGCTTCCAGAACGTGAAATAAATTACTGTTGTTTCTAAGCCACCCAGTCTATGGTATACTGTTACAATGGTATACCTGAACAGACTGAGACATTTACTTTTTGTAAATTTAAATTCCCAATTCTATTTGAGGTGGCAATGTACCCACCTATATTTCTCAGCTTCCCTCATCCAGAGATGACCATGACTTCTAGCCAATGATTTATAAACAGATGCCTTGTGGAAATTACTAAGAACTTTAATTTCCTGATAGAAATAAAACCCCTTTCCCATTGTCCCCTCCTACCTTCCTCCTCCCTCCTTGCCTGGGAGGTGGACATGATAGCTGAAGCTACAGTAAGCCATCTTGTGATCATGAGGAAAAGCCAAGAAAATCAAATATTTTTGACCCTAACACCCTTAAGCTACTAAACCTACATCAGGCATTGCCTATCTGTGGAATTCTTATGCAGAAGAAAAATAAACCCGTAACTTAAGCGAGTGTTTAGTCTGGTTTTCTTTTACTCAAACACCCCTATATAAAGTACACAAAATTCAAAAAAAGGATGAAAGTAGGTAGAAACATAGGTGAAACAAAATCAGCCATGAATTGATAACTCAAGGCTGGGGGTGGGTAGGTACATAGGGGTTCATTATGCCTGTTCTCTCTATATGTATTTAAAATGTACCATAATAAGCTATTTAAAAGTTTATAAATAGCTCTGCCATTTACAAGCTGGATAGCCTTGGGCAAGTTTAATAATCTCATTCTTTTCATCTGTCAAATGGAGAGAAATAATACTATTCAGAGAGCTCCATATTCACATCCCATCAAGATAATCTCCAGAAGGTACCTGGCAGGAACGTACTCCATCTATCTAATCATCCAGGGATTAGCACATGCCAAAACTGATTCCTCCTCTGAACTCTTACTTTACTATAACTCACTACCATAGTTCAGTGCCCTATTATCTTCTAATTGTTCCATATGTGGTTATTAAAGCATCCCATGATGATACCCTGAGAAACCTAAATCTCTCTTGAACTGAGCACAGGTTCTCACAATACTGGCTGACTGTAGGTATTTAAAACCTCTCAGTCAATTAATTTACTGTCAACTCAAAAAATACCATTTTTAAAAAGTCAAATTGTATATTTTTTAAAGTACCCTAGATATATTCCTAAATACACAGAACAAGAGGTTCCTAACAGTAAGCTGCTTTCCCTTGGGCAGATTTTCCACAAATGAGATTAAAATAAGCTCACAGGATTTCATGATATTTTCTTTTTTTAAAAAAAAATCAATGTATTGGTATTTATTTTCTATTTATCTTTAATATTTTCACTTCAACAACCAATGCTGCAGTAGTCTACCTAAAAAGAGCACCAAAAAGTTACTGATGCTACAGATATCAAGAGCTGTGTTACTGAAATAACAGCAATGAAAAGAGTACCATTAGTTTTTATAAATCTTTCCCATTGTCTGCATGGAGCTTTTATAAAGCAAACAGCTTATTTTCACCCTGTCACCACTTCATTTATAATGCACTATTGTACATCAGCAGAACATTAAGAACTAGGAAGGATAACTTACAATTCACCAGAAAATAGGTATACAACACAAGAGATATAAATCTTAATAAGATAAAACCAGTATCTCTTTAATCTCAAATAATTATCCATGTAAGCAGGACAGAGATAAAGAACTGGAGCCACAAGGTGAAGGACACACACACAGAAAATGAACAAACAAATCAAAAAACATTCATACCATTGGTGTGTACTTATAAATTAATAAAGTCAACTTAACATTTTCATTTTAGATCTCACCACATTAAAAGGCAACAATAAAGATAGAAATCTTGTCAGGAGACTTAAACAGTACCAGTCACTCATATTTTCTAGCTATATAGGATACAGTTTAAAAGTACCTGAATCATTTCTTTAAAATTACAAAACGGATTTCAATGTTACAGCATTTTTAAATTCTTTTTCAAGAAAACTGATTTTATCAGTATCAGGAGAATTTTACATTCATATAATTTAAATGTTCAATATCTCTTAATATTCATAAAGCACAATACTCTATGAAAACATGTTTACATACCTGCAATAAATATGTGAGGTTTATGAGCTGCTAATTAACACCTTAAAATACCAGATCATAAAGTGTTCTAAATGAGGTGTTCCTTTTTAAGCCACACAGCACAAACTGAAAGACTCAAAAATTATAAAGGGCTGAAACTTTTGAAATAAATTTTATTTAATGCATCAGACTTTAAATGAACCCAGTAGAGTCACTGCAGAAAGACTGATTTTCCCATTAGGATGATGATGACAACACAATATAAATTCATAGTTAAAAATTTATGGAGGCAAAGGCTGACAGGAGCCTACAAATTATCATGTATAATCTATACACAGTGTTTTTTAAAAATGAAATAAATTCCTAGTAGAGAGTTTTAAATACAAAGGACTAAACTGTCCTGCCAGAGTTCCCAATTAAATTAAATACTGCATTTATTCATGGAGTTAACTAAGGAGTCTTAACATTATTTACAAACAGAAATAAAAATTCAAATAAATACAAATATAAGAAAATTGAAAGGAAAGAAATGTTTCTCTAAAAGTTATTTAAGGAGAAATGCAAATATTCATAATATTTTGTAAACTCCATCCTCTGACAGGACTTGTCACAACTAAATGAAGTTTGGTTTTTTTATAAAAATCAATTTTATCAGAGCTTTGATATGTGAAATACATATTTTCTACCTACCTTGAATGTTTATAAAGTTTACGAGGTCTACTATGCAATTTCCGATCCCAATTCTCTGGATCACTGGAGTTACTGTCATAAGGATGAGGCCGTCCTGCCATCCCACTTCAAGCTTTCTCACACTACTGCTCTGAAAGCACACATGTAGCACCCATAACCTACATAAAAAAGTAGTGTTGACCTTTAAGTCTATTCCATGCAGAATAAAAAAGCCACAGAATTTTAAATACTTTTTATTACTGTGACAGTTTTTTAAAAGTGATAAACAGGATTAAAAATACTAAACATACAAATACCACAAATTAGATTAAAATAAACATCAGAAGTCTTTTTAGATACTTTTCATTTGACTTTTGTATTAAATTTGCTACCACCAGGCAACAGTTTTTTCAGACAAAATTTCACTTGGAATACATTGCTTAATTACTAAAAGTTTAAGATGTTTAACAAAGCATCTAGTAAGACCAAGTACCAATATTTTTATTTCTTTAGCAGTTAAAGACCTTGAATAGAAATTTAGTATTTGCCCAAAATAAAAGTATGTAAGCATCCTGATGTTTCCTTATAGTGCAATTACCACCAAAATATTTTATCAATATGATTCATATATTTTATGCCTTTTCATATGTGCAGTTTGTGACTTCTTTCTACAACAGTCATATGAAATTATAAGAAAACTCACTTAATAGCTTTATAGAATACCTGCACAAAGCACTTTAAAGTATATTCATTTTCCAATTTAATATTCACAATCACCTTACAAGGTAGGCATTATAATCTCTACACACAGAATAGAAGACAGTCTCAGAAGTTTAGTAATATTGCTAAAGGTCACAATGCCTAAAAATGGCAGTCTTATAAAGAACAATGAGAATTTATGATATAGAGTCTTGATCTTGAAAAATGCTCAGACTATTTAGTTTGGAAATAGGTCAGATATGACTTTTAGAGATTGCAAACACCAATAGAAAAGCCAAATGTAGTTAAACAATTTGAACAAAGTTATATTAAGTCAGACTAGAACCCGGGTTCCCTGATACCCACTCCTATACCTGTATACTTTCTATAAACTTTTCCAAGCTGGATTTGATAGAAGGAAGTGAGGAGGAGTTGTGCATAAAAGTCAAAGGGAACCCAGAATGGGAAAACACTATACTTTCCTGAGTTTTATAAAGTATTCCAGTACAATTTCACAAAAAAATGCCAAAGATAAACTCATTAAAATTGTAAGTCCATCTCAGAACTCATTAAAAGAAACGCTTCCATTTTAAAGAAACTATTTTTTGCTGCTGTTGTTAATCCTCACATGAGGATATTTTTTTCCATTGATTTTTAGAGAGAGTAGAAGGGAAGGAGGGAGGGAGGGGGAGAGAGAAAAAGAAAGAGAGAAACATCCATGTCAGAGAGACACATGGACTGGTTGCCTCCCTACGGAGAGCAGGTCAGGGGTGAGGGTGGGAGTGGGTGAGCGAACCCAAGACCCTTCGGTGCGAAGGCCTACGCTCTAACCACTAAGACACACCAGCCAGTGCTAGAGAAACTATTTTACTATGTTTATACTTTTTTCCTTAGTTACTTAGTGCTTTCTTTACAAAAACAATTGAAAATCTTATACATGAACATTTTAATATAATAAATATGTAAATAAGTAGGTAGATCAATGAGTAAAATAAAAATAACAGAAAAAGGAAAGGGGGGGAATTGCATAATAGCTAACTTAAATCCTAAGCAAATACCACACAGATTATTTGTTGAATGATCCTGGAAAAGAAACCTTAAGGATCGCTGAATAATTGAAAATCAATCGCATATTAGATGAACATAAAAACTATAAATTATTTTGAAAAAAAATTCTCAAACTCATTTGAGTTTTTAATTATAAAAATAAAAATGTATTTACTAAAAAGGAAACTTTTAAAACTTCAGCTAAATATTATAGCTAATTATCTGCACTGAAGAGATGAGGCAGAAGAGAAGGGTGAGAAAGAACAAATCAGAGACAAAAAAGAAAGTCAGAAAAAAAGTGGTCACAGAACAAGAGAGACACAAGAGGTAAAAAGAATAGTAGGGAAAATTGGTAAGGAGGGAAGAGAAAAAGATGTAGGGAGGCTTAGCAGATTCTGTAGAATGAGGTTTAGAGCATTTTCTCCTTACTTCATAGGGTCTTCCAGTAAGCTATTTCAGGTATTTAACATTTCTTTGTAAGAGCATTTTTTTCTCCTTCTAAGCCATAACTGTAAGACACACTCTGTGGATAGGATAGCCACAAATGTCCACTGAGGGAAGAAAGACCCTAAACCATGGGATGCAGTGACTAAAAAAATATAATCAGAAAGAATATATGCACCCTTATGTTCATAGCAGCACAATTTACAATAGCTAAGATCTGGAAACAGCCTGGTAAAGTGCCCATCAGTAGATGAGTGGATAAAAAAAGCTGTGGGACATTTACACCATGGAATATGCAGCCGTAAAGAAGGATGTCTTATCCTTTGGGACAGTATGGATGGACCTGGAGAATATTATGGTAAGTGAAATAAGCCAGGCAGAGAAAGAAAAATATCACATGAGCTCACTTATATGTGAAATCTGAAGAACATAATAAACTGCTGAACAAGACAGATTCAGTGACACAGAAGCATGGAACAGACTGACGAATCTTAGAGGGAAGGTGAGGGGGGGCGTAGATTAATCAAAGAATTTACATGCATATATGCATAACCTATGTACACAGACAATAGTGTGGTGAAGGCCTGGGGCCGGGAGTGGCTGAGGTGTGAAAAGGGTCAATGGGGAAAAAAGGGGGCATCTGTAATATTTTCAATAATAAAGATAAAGTAAAACATATATATAATATATAACCACAAGAAATGGGTAAGGTAAATTCAGATTCACATTTTCCACCCTTTTACAGTGGGTGGCACATATCTAGCATCAGGGAAATTCCAGTATGTCTTCCTAATCAATCTTATTGAAATCAACAATCATGTATTTTATAGCCAGCCGCAAGAAACTAAAGAACATTCAGATGAAGGCTATCAAAAAAGAAAAATTAATTGAAAAATCATATTTCTATTTCATTTGTCAATAAAACTTGTTTATCACCATTGATATGGTGATAAACTTTCTTCCTGATACCATTGTAATTTAACCTAGTTATAAATATCTGGAAAGGAGCAAAGGGAAGGCCAAATAGTATAGGCATGCCATTTGTGCAGGTTTGCCATGAGGCTGCAGGTTAGACACATGCCTGGTAAAGTCTGGGTGAAATAGGGAAGGTACTTGTCTGTCAGTCACACCTGGGAACAGGTCATTGGCCAGAACAGGCAAAAATAAAGGAGTTTACTCTCTTGAGCTCTTGGGACTCTTGATGCAGCGGGCGCAATAACTTGGCTCCTCTGCATTTGCCCCAGGGCAGCTTCAACAGCCATGCTGTTCCATGCTGTATCAGCACTGAGCTGTTTGCACTGAATAGTTTCCTTCTTCACTGCACCCCAAATAGGGAATTCCTGTTGGTGTTGAATTGGGGCCAACAACCATTGGTTGATAAGAGGAACCTAGATGAAGAATATCTGAAGGGCCAGAAGCTTGAGGAATGATTTGAATCATCAGGAATAAAAGAGACTGTACAAACCTGACATGTAAAAAATAAATGATATAGATATAATGACCATGAAAGCTTTGAAAAAGTTCAACAATGTTTTATAATTTCCTCATGATTGCTGGCTAACCCACTCTAAGTGTAACATAAATCCCTAAATTGATAAGAAACTGAACAATCATTTTTAGCCACAGCCAAGAAATGAAGAGCCTGGAGGGACTGAATACTACCACAGACAACCATCAAAGAAAAAGAAGAGATGGAAACAATTTTTAAGAGGAAATAAACCAGAAGGTGAAAAGGAACCTCCTGCAAACGCAGCAAAGTAAAGTGATAATGTAAGCCCTGCAGACAACAATTACCTAAATAACAAATCTAAATAAAATATAACACACACACACAAAACTGTTGGAAAGCACTGGACAGTGTCCCGAAGCATAGAGTAGTGAAAGTATAGCTTACTCTTGAAAAACTACAACTGGAAAGGAACAGAATCAGAAGTTCAGTTTGAAATCTTTATGCTGAGTGCCCTCCCATCCACCACAAACAGTGAAGGAAACCAAGCAGCCACATAGGTCAAAGTGGTTAAGAAAATAGTTGAAGGCTGGAAGTGCAATCGGAAATTTAAGGCACATATGCTGAGAGTAAAAGAACCACAGAAAGGTGAGACCCAAAATCTGAGCATAAACTCTGCTCAGCAAACCTACACATGCATGGGGAACCCCAGGTAGACTACAGAGGAATTTACCCTTGAAAGCTGGTATAAAATCCACAAGTTTGACGCTTTTTTAACTCAGTGCATTCTCCAACCATGCACAGCCCAAGCACCAGAAAGCTCAATTTACCTTACTGGCTTGGGTGTCAGAGGACAAAGACCACCACTGGCCAAAGAGCTAGAAATTAGGAGGGAATCCCCATAAGTAGAGGAATCAGAAAGAGGGTGAGCTCCAAAACCTGAGTAAAATCTCTGCCCCAATTTTTGGCTTACCACCAAACTGCTCAGGTACAGGAGATCCCTCCCCCACCTACTCCTCAGGATACCAAGCTAAAAAACAAGTAGCTGGAAGAAGAATTAAGCACAGATTATCAGCTGCTATATGTCAGGCAGGAAAAAAAGTTTGCAGCTTGAATCCATGCAAGTTAATGGTCTACTAGAAAAAACAAAAAAAATAATCTTTATAACAACACTACAATGTCTAGGTTTCAACCAAAAATTATGAGATTCAAAGAAATAAGACGGTGAAAATGTAGTCAATAGAAACTAATTCTAAGTGGGTCCAGATGTAGGATTTAACAAATAAAGACTTCAAAGCACATATTATAAATATATTCAAACAATTAAAGGTCAGTATATTTCAAAGAACTAAGATAAGAAAACAGTGGCAGAAGAAAATCACAATAGAGAAGTGAAAACTATCAAAAATATGGTAATTCAGCCCTAGTAGACCACTGAATGCAAATCTTGCATAATATTTCATTAGTTCATTCATCACTATTTGCCTTTTGAAATCACAGATGATGAGAATTCCTAAATAGCTACTCAACACTTATTAAGCACTTATAATGTGCCCGATTGTTGAAATAAAGAAATATGATATGCATGACCTGGTTTAAAAAACAAACAAAACTAAATCACAATACAGGGGACAGAGGAAGAATGATTAGGGAAAGGGTTTCTATTCATTTTGAGTATTTCTAATTTCTCCAGGGTACACCTGACCCTCCCGTTCTACTTATCATCAAAAGCACCTTAGCCCTGGCCGGTATGGCTCTGTGGTTAGAGCATTGGCCCCCGCACCGAAGGGTTGCAGGTTCAATTTCCAGTCAAGGGCATGTACCTGGATTGCAGTATCTGGGTTCCAGGTTGGATCCGCAGCCCCAGTCGAGACGTATGGGGGAGGCAACCCATCAATGTGTCTCTCTCACATCAATGTTTTTCTCTCTCTCTCTTCTCCCTCTCTCTTTCTAAATATCAATGGAAAAAATATCCTCAGGTGAGGATTAACAAAAATAAAAATAAAAATTACCTTAGACTTTTACATAGTCTACAAAGAGCCATATACTTTGGACACAATTGCTAATAACAGTATTAGGAGCTAAATCAAAACCTTATGTCAGTCCTATAGTAACAAAGATGAAAACAGAATTATTTTGCTCTTAGCTTAAAAATAAATTTTAAGCTCTGGAAGAACAGACCAATCATCCTAATTTCTAGCCTCTGCAAAAAACTCCTTCAGTTATACTTATCAGAATATTCTTGCTATATCCAAGAAGCTTAAATTTTTAAAATTTATCTCTTTTGGATGTTAATAACAGCCTCCTTGCTGTGTAACAATGTACCATAAACCCAGTGGCTTACAATGACACACATTATCTCAATTTCTGTGGGTCAGGAATCTGACAGTCTAGCTGGGTCCTCTGCAAGGCTATGATCAAGATGTCAACCATAACTAGATCCAAATTTATTTTTTTTAAATATGTTTATATTGATTTCAGAGAGAGGAATGGAGAGGACACAGAGATAGAAACATCAATGATGAGAGAGAGTCACAGATCGGCTGCCTCCTGCATGGCCCCCCTGGGGATCGAGCCCACAACCCAGGTATGTGCCCTGACCGGGAATTGAACTGCGACCTCCTGGATCATAGATCGATGCTCAAGCACTGAGCCATGCTGGTCAGGCAAGATCCCAATTTGGAGGCT